TGCCAAAACAGGGTAAGAGGATGACAAGAAAGGACACCCCAAAAAAGGGTGGGAGGCTGCAAAAGGGTGGGAGACAGATGAAAGGTTGGGAAGTCGATGATAAATTAAAAGCCAAGAAGAGGCGGAGGCTGACAAAAGGCGGGAGGACCAAAAAGAGGTAAGAGGTTAAAATGAAAGAAGAGGCTAAGAAAGGGTGGGAGACCAAAAAGAAAGTGGGAGGCTGAGAAGGGCAGGGAAACAGACAAGAAACCGAAAAGAAACCGACAAGAAAGTAGAGGCCCAGAAGTGGTACCAGTGGAAAAAAACAAGAGAGGCTGAAAAAGGGTAGACGACTGACAAAGGGATGGGAAGCCATTCAAGAAAGTAGAGGATGAAAAGGGACGGGAGGAAGAACAAGAGTGGGTGGTGGAAAAGGAGCAGGGGAGGTCACCCAGAAAGAAAAGGCAAAAAGAGTGAGAGGCTGAAAAATGGTAGGAGGCCAAAAATGTATGGGAGGCCAAAACAGTGTGGGAGGCCAAAAGGAAACTAGAAGATAAGGACGACTACAAAAAGGAGGAGAAAGTAGACGCTTTTTGGATTTCCCCCTCTTTTTGGCCTCCCACCCTTTTTCAGCCTCTTTTTTCTTGTTGCCCTCCTACCCCTCTTCAGCATCCCATTCTGTCTTTTACTTTCCTGGCGGCCTCCAATACATTTTCACCCTCCCACCCCTTTTGGCTTCTTCTTTCCTGTTGGCCTCCAACTCCTTGTCAGCCTCCCACCTTTGTTTGGCCCCCCATTCCTTTTCAGCCTCTGCTTCCTTTTTGACTGTCTACCCCTTTTCAGCCTCTCACCCTTTTTCATGTTTTATGTTATTTTTAGCTTTCCACTTCTTTTTGGCCTCTGACCATTGTTCAGCCTCCTAATATTTTACTGACTCCCACCCCTTTCAATCATTTTTTTCTTGTCAACCTCTCACCTTTTTTTGGCTTTTACTGGGGGTGGGTCAGTGTCCTACCTTTTTTCAGACATACCCCTTTTTGGCCTCTAACCCTTTGTTGAACTCTACTGGCCTATCACTACTCTTCAGCCTCCCATCCCATTTTGGCCTCCCACCCTGTTATGGCCTTCTAGTCTTGTTCTGTCTCCCACCCTGTTGCAGCTTCTATTTTCTTGTTGGCCTCCCACCCTTGTTCATTCTCCCACCACTTTTTAGCCTCCCACACTTTTTCAGCCTCTAATTTCTGGTTTGTCTTCCACTTTGTTTTGGCCTCCTACAACATTTCCACTTTCCAACCTTGTTCAGCCTCCATCCCCTCCTTCAGCCTCTACTTTCTTCTTGTCCTTCCACCCCTTTTCCATCTCCTAGCCCTGTTTGCCCACCCCTCCATTCCCCCTTTTTGGCCACTACTTTCTTGTTGGCCTGTCACTCCTTTTTGGACTGCCACCCGTTTTTGGCCTCAAACCCCTTTTTGGCTTCCCACTCTTTCAGCCTCTAAGCCCTTTTTGGTCTCCACTTTGTTGTTGGGCTCCCATTCCTTTCTGACATCCCACTCTTGTTCAGCCTCTGCTTTCTTACTGTGCTCCCACTCATGTTTGGCCTCCCAGCCCTTTTTGGCCTCTATTTTTGAGTTGGCATTCTTCCCTGTTCATCTTCCCACCTCTGTTCAGCCTCTGACTCCTTTTTGGCCTCTAATTTCTTGTTGGCATCCTATCTCTTTTGGGTCTCCTACCCCTGTTTGGCCTCCCATCCAAGGCTGGAGGACAGGTGGATGTTGAAGGTGGGGAAAGGTAAATGCTGAAAAACAGTGAGTGGAGGCCAAAAGAGAGCAAGAGGCCAGGGGGCGGCTAAAGGCTGGAAAGAAAGTGGAAGGTGAAAAATAAACCGGAGGCTCAAGGGCAGGGGAAGCTGGTGGGGGAAAAGGAGGATGTTGAGGAAAGGGGTGGCTGAAAAATGAGCGGGAGGACAGAAGGCAGGTGGAGGCTGAAAAGGGGGCAAGGAGAGGCTTAATAAGAGGGCAGTGTGAAGAAGGAGGCCCAAAAAAGGGGATGAGTGGGAGCAGCATGGCTGAAAAAAAGGGGAGGAAAGGCCAACGGGAGGCTGAAAAAAGGGCAGAGGATAAAATGGGAGGGGGTACAAAAGGAAGAAGCAACCCATAAAGAGTTTGAGGCCAGAGAGCAGACTGAAAAAAAGTGTGAGGATGATACCAAAGGGGAAGGGGCTGCTGGAAGGGATATGGAGGCTGAAAAGGCAGAGGAGGCCCAAGGGGATGGGGGAGACTGGAAAGGAGTCGGGGACCAAGCAGCTTAAGGGAGGCAGAAGGGGACCCGGAGCCTGGAACGAGAGTGTCAAAAGAGTAGGGGGAGGCCAAAAATGGAGGGGAAGTGGGAGTGGGGAGGCTCAACGAGTTTGAGGCTGGAAGGGACGTGGTGCCCTGGGAGGGCAGGGGGCGGCTGAAGGGGAGCAGGAGGTTGGAGGGGAGGCGGCGGCCCGAGGGGAGCAGCCGGCCGAGAGGGTGGCGGGCGTCCGGGGTCGATAGAAGCCGCGTAGCGCGGAAGACCCCACTGCGGAGGGAGACTGGGGGCGAGGGGAGGCCGGACGGGGGACGGGCGAGGCCGGAGCAGGCGGAAGCTCCGCGCGGGCGGAGGCGCCACGT